CTGCAGTGGTAATGGGTATGGATGGTATATGCTTCAAAGCCTGAGCTGATGGGTGGGGTTAATGAGAAGTTTCAAAACTGGTACTTGGGGCCATGGTATATAATTCTCCAACTCTGGATGCACTGGAATGAGAGCTGAATTCAGAGTGGAAAAAGATCAGAAGGGGCATTTTCATGGGAGAGTCAAGAGAAAATTTGTCTATTAGAATTTTTTGTTTACCCTTCTGTTTTTTTTTTTGTAGAATTGATAAGTTTTAAATTTTTTATTGTTATGTTAATCACCATACATTACATCATTAGTTCTTGATGTAGTGTTCCATGATTCATTGTTTGTGCATAACACCCAGTGCCCTCCTTAATACCCATCACCAGGCTAACCCATCCCCCCACCCCCTCCCCTCTAGAACCCTCAGTTTGTTTTTCAGAGTCCATTGTCTCTCATGGTCCGTCTTTACCCTTCTGTTAAATGCTTAAATCTTTGTCCATTTTCCTATACTATGGAAAGGGCACACTGGTGTGGGATGAGGTTAGAGTAGTAAAAGGAACACAAAAAAACAAAATTGGTAGTCACAGGTGGAGAGCTAGAAGCAGCAGTGATGGGAAACGTAGAAGGCCTTCTAGAGAGGATTTTTGGACTAAAAATGAAGAACAAGGGAACATGCAAGAAGGTTCTGTTTCTGTAGACAGATAGGGAAATTCTTTTTCTACACAACAATAGAAAATTGAAAAACATTCCTACTGCTGTGCAAGCTGATCTAAATTAGGATTTAGGGTTGAGGTGCTGTGTAGAACAGCCTAGGTTGGTCTGAAGTCCACTGGTCTTTCCTAAATAAGCACCACACTTGAGAAAGTCATTTTATACACACAGGTAATATCAAGCTGAATGAATGCTGGTGGGCTGCTAAACTATTATCTTAATTTTAAGTTCTCCCGAACCTGGGTATATCCCTGGGGTTTTTCTGCTACCAGTTAAAAAACAAACAAACTCTTGGTGGAATATATTTGGCAGCAGAATAAAAAAACAGGTATTAATATTTACACAAACAAAGAATAATAAAGAAAAAGAATAATAAAGAAAAAGAAATAAGACATTAGAAGCTTAAAAGCACTGCCTATTTTTCTCCCTGGGTGATTGACTAGCTGTACAACTTAATTTTGTCAGGTGGTAGTTAGGGAACTAATAGAAGTCATGACTTGATTCCTTACCTTGGCATCCACTTATATTTAAGTTTTCACCTTTTTAAAGGAATAATGAGGCATGCCTTGTTTTCTTTGTTCTCCTCCTTACAGTTCCACTTAGTTTCTAAGGACCAGAATTAGGAAATTGCAAGATGGAAAAATAAACACTTAACAAGTAGTGCTACACCCCTTTTTCTCTACTAGCAGCACTCAGGACAGGATTGCAAAACCTCATTAGATTTGCAAAACATGATAAGAAAAATAAACACCTGCAGATCTTAATTTATTAAGTCCTGGCTATGCTCTCTGAAAATTTATCCTTTATGAAATACAAGGGCAGCACTGAAACACAAAGCTAAATGGAAAGATGGCATATTGTTTCTCCATCATAGAAAATAAGCCTCAGCAATATTTAAGAGAAGTAGTCCAGTGGCATAAAATTAAACAGAAATACACCAAATTGTGTCAGAGATTTTCCTGGGGTGAAATAAACAGGAAATGTCATAAAGCAAAACCTGCCTTAACAACCATCAAGTTCCCTTAATAAAATATGCACTTTAAAATAAACTAAGCCAATAGGTGGGTGAGGAAAGGGGAAATACAGTTGTGGAATTTTTTTTTTCTTCACATTTTGTTTCTAATCTTTTCATTAAATGAAATGGATTTCAACAGGAGTGAGCCTGAAAAAATTACAATGGAAGTTACCTGTATTAAGGCCCTCAGGCTAATACTACGACAATGCCATTTAAAAAAGTATCATGAAGAGAAAGTCACAGTTATAAAAGCTATCCTATCTTACTAATTTGGTTCATGAAATATGGTAGAATGTTTTAATATGTTCTTCTGTGTCTTAAGGGTTTAGAATAACTGAAAAAATATAATTCCTGCTAGAATAGAGAGTTGAAGCCATGGACTGATTGGCATCTAGACTGGGACTGACCCAGGAATTGCATGGTATTTGGATAGGTACTGGGCCATCAGGTATGATGAGTTCATTTTCGGAATTCAGGCCTATCCTAAGAGGTGTGAATATATTAATTTATTGTAATGACTAACTTCTTTCTAGACAATGTGAGAGTTTTGTGTCTGTATGTCAGAAAGCACAGGCAGGTCCTTAACGGGGGAGGAGAGGGCAAGAAACTACTGAGAGTTTGAGCAGGTAATGGAAGATGGCGCAGCTTATGCTAGACCAGCCCTCTCACACACACACAAAATTAAACTTTGGATAAAACATTAAAAATTATGTAAAGGTAATGGAGAATGACCAAAACCATGCAGAAACTTGAGGGGAGTTAACACTAGTAAGAGGGGAAACGTATTTTTAACATCTTTTCAACTTAGGGCAGACCCAGTGCCACTAAGAGTAATTAAAACTCATATAAGAAGCTTAAGTCATTACTAGTCAAGGAATCAGAGTACAGAGTTCAGAGTGACCAAAGAGTCTGGAAAGTGAGAAGGAAATCCTGAAAAGGAGAGAGTCACAGAAGGTTGTAGCCACACTGCCCAAATCTCTCACTGATCTCCAAACTCCACATCCTTGGGGCTGACTTCAAGAAGCCCAGCTAAAACAAAAAGAACTGAATAGATATTTCAGCTGTTGCCCACCATAGGGGAGACAGAATTTGGAGCTTCAGATCAACCAAGTTAACTGCCTACTAAACATAAAAAATAAAAATTCTTCAGAACAACAGCACAGAATGCACAGTTTCTACAATGTATTATTCACAATGTCCAGGATATAATCTAATCAGATATATGAAGAAACATACTCAAAAGACCATCAGTGGAGACCGACCTTAAGATGACCCAGATGTTGGAATCAGTAGACAAGGATTTTTAAGCAGTTATTATAACTCTGCCCCAAAACAAAGAAATAAATGGATAGGAAATTTCAGCAGAAATAGAAACTATTAACAACAATAGGATCAAATAGATTCTAGAAGTGAAAAATGATGTCTGAAATTTAAAAATCAACAGTTGTGTGTAACAGCAATTTGGAGATGGTAAAAAAGTGAGTCAGTGAACTTGAAGATAAGAACAATTGAAATTATCTAATCTGAAATATGAGCAGTCAAAAAAAAATTGGATGTAGGGAGCTTTTTCTTTGGCTATTGTTTTTATTATATATAAAACCTTTTTTGACATGGCTACTGGACTGGTAAGTCGGGAATGCTTGATCAGAATACATCTTGATTTTGACAGTGCTTTAAGCAAAGTTTTTCATGACATCCTTTTGTACAAGAAGAAAAATGTGGACCAGATGACCATAATTAGATATATTTATTGTTGACTCCTGTCATTCTGCCAGACTGCCTTCAGTGCTGTAATGGGGGTTGGAGTAAAGTGTAATGATAGAAACGGGGAAGGAACACTTATCTATTACCTGCAATTTTTTATTTCTGTCCTCCTTCAGTAGCACATAAACCCCATGAGGGCAGGCAGTGCATACTTTTAATCTGTATCTTCCCAATTGTCAGGACCTGTAATTAGTTCTGCTCTCTGGAATGGGACAAGACCTGGGGAAGCATGAGGGTGAGCATGGTGACAGGGAATCCAGGAATGCACTATGTTCAGAAATTGAGGCAGATAGAATGCTTGTTCCAGGGAAATCAGTCAGCTGGCAGATGGTCTCAGGTACCAAGCTAGTGTTGGAGGCAAGACTTCAATCTCTTGAGGGTAGTGTTTCTCAAAGTATAGTTCAGATCACTTGTTTCAGAATTACCTGGAGTGCTAGTTAAAATGTTAATTCTAGGAAACAGTCCTAGACTTGCTAAGCTGGCATCTTTAAGGGTGGGTCTTGAAAATCTACAGGTACCTTAGATGATTCTTACATATATGAATTTGAACTGTTTATTTTTAGGGGCGGGAGGTGGCAAAAGCAAGGAACAGGCTAAGTCCTAGGGCAGGTGTCAGAAACTTGGCAGTTAGCATCTTGGGCTGGAAAATTCTTTGTTGTGGGGGACTGCTGTCCTGTGCCTTGTGGAATGTTTAGCAGCATTCCTAGTCTGTAACGCTGTAGATGCCAGTAGCACCCCCTCTCCCAGCTGTCACAACCAGACATTGTGCAATGTCCCCTAAGAGGTACATTAGTCCCTAGTTGAGAACCACTGCTTTGGGGGATCTGAGTAGTAAGCCTGTGCCTAGCCTAAGGATCAGGGGAAGAAGAACACAATATGGGGAGATATCCAGCTACTGGAATTGGAATGTCAAGCTAGGACTAGATTTACAGCAAGAGCTCCTTTGTAAGGTTGCTATTGGTAGCTTAGCTTCCTTGCTGTAGAGGGGCCGTGTAGCTCTGAAATACGAAGGCTGAGAACTAGACAGGTCTGGCACCTTAGGTCAGGTCTCAACCCTGGCTGTGCATCATCCATGAGGAATCGTAAAAATATACAGATACGTCAGCCAGACTCAGTCCTTCTGAAGCAGAATTTCCAGTGATGAAGCCCAGGCATCTGATACACGACCTGGATTCTGGAACACTCACAGGGTTAGACGACATCCGGAATACTGTGTTTCGGAATTCAGAGAAACACAGGCTAGGAATAAAGTTGTCTCAGAATAGCAGACCTCGGCAACGTGTAGTATCTGAACCTCTTTAATAGTTCCGTTCTCGTCCTATCCCGTCCTTCTCTACAGATGAGGACAAAAGCATTACATACAGATACATTGTGGCTAAACTGCTCTAAGTAGAGAATTTTCCCAACTTTACTCTTATTCTCTGTTCTGAGCCTACCTGCTCTTTTGTAATTTCTCCTGTTCCCATCCCACTGCCAAAACCTGATTTCTTTCTCTTTTCCCACCCACTTTGTCGGATATCTGTTTGGCTTGTGTGATCTGGGCAATATTTAGGAGGCAGAATCAAAGCCTTGTTGAGTGGGAGCTTCTAACTTCCTTTTAAAGGTCCCAGTAAGAATCAATGGTATAAGGTAATATAAAGGAAAACTGTAAAGCAATAAGAGATTCCATAAACTGCATAAGAAACACAAGGTTCACAGAGTACCATCTCATACTTCATGACAGAAAATCTAGAAAAGAGAAAAAATTCTATGGCATGTTCACTGTGTACTTTGTTTCAATTCCATGTGAAACACTGCAGTTAACTAAAAAGTACACCCATGGGGAATCTCGGTTAAACTTGATTAATCTTATTTAAACTAGCTACTAGTTCAGCAATAATTCCATAACAGCCCAAGAGCTCTGTAAAAACACTTCCACTGATTATTTTATTCAGGAAAAAAACAAATAGGAGAAGAAAGAAACACATTCTGGTCATTTGCAGTATCTATCAGCTTTCAATTTGGCTCTCCTGTTTAAACAAAGACAAATGATAAAAATTATGTAAAACATTCCATATATATCAACTACTAAATACATACTCACACTCAGAAATTGTGTTCTCCATTTTGGTTATTACATTGCCATACAACTTATATTAAAATATTTTAACTAAAATTTAACTTTTCAATGTTGTTTCATATTAAATGTATTCTATTCTTGTGAAAGTATTTCATAATCTTTAAGAAATGTTGCCTAAGAGCTTTTTTAATCCACAATAGCAATTTTAATTGCCTCTGAATTTAAGCATGCCCTAAACTTCTATTTAGCAGGGTGGCAATGTTCTATTTTCATGAGTGATAAAAGTTAACAAGACATAAGCCTTATTCTTAAATCATTTACTAACTTCTGGTAACAACTCGATCAACTAGTTAACAGGATATACATGATGAAGCATTATCTTTATCAAGTAGTGTGAAGAAATGTTTTAAGACTAATTTTGCAACACAGGACTTTGAAGGAGTGGCAGATTACCAAATTCTCTTTCAATCTGGCACTTACTTGATTTATGGTTATAAACTTACAGCTAACCCTCTCTACCTACTTTTTTATGTTATACATCTAGGACATTACTTACCTAAATAAGAACAGTTTTAGATAAATATTAATCATGTGCTATGATAAAATCCTACACACTTCTAGATTCAACTTAATAAAAGTGTTTCAATTTTATTTCATTTTATACTTAGTAATTTTTAAACTGATCTGTTTTTATCTCATTTTAGGAACCTGCTATTCTACTAGAACCCACTGAATTTTGAAATTAAACTACTTCTTTCTAGCCCTGTTCTAATAATTATAGGAAGATGATGTTAAATAAATTTATGAAGGGGTTTCAGTCAAACCTGAATGTCTTATAAAAAAATTTGTAAGTTTTTGGAATCTGTCTATTTTTAGATATTGTTTCCTAGGTGATCTTTTCCCAGACTTATGTCCTTTTTAGGTAACATTACTATGTTCACAAATTACAAGACAAAAATTTAAGAACTGTAATAACTGAAAAAGAACATTGGTTATATATATGCCATTTCTATTGGATATGAAAATAGTTGGAAATAAGTAAAAATATACCTACCTGTCCAGAAGTGTTTCATGCAAAAATCCATCTTTCCGGGCCTTTTTGAGAATTTTACTGTCTTCTTTACTTATTTTAAGTTTGTGGTCTTGGAAGCTCTGAAATTTCTTTCTGTTAAGAAAATGCCTTTCTTGAAAATCATCTCAAACTTTGATTATACATGTTTACTCATGAACTTACAAATATTTTAAAAGTTTTTCATTTATTTAAAAAAAACTAATTGTCTTTCTTTAGAAACATACAGCTTTTCAACTGCGAAGATGACCTTAGTCCTCCTCCATGAAGAGGACTACAAAGGGCAGGGCTGTGAAGCGCCGCTGCCACTAAGGTGTGATGGCTGGAGTCCTGAATCCTGGCTCTGGAACAACATTTGGTTGGCATTATGTCCCGATAAGCTATAGTCGTTCTATTAATGAATATGGAGAAAAGATTAATCCAAGTGACTTTAGCTTTGAAAGCTAGCAGGATAATTAGGAAAACTGAAGCTCTGAGAAAAGAAAAGCATTCAGCTTAGTTCTTCGTCCTAGAGTCCATTTAATGCTGCCTCTCGTCCTTTGGATATTTTATTTTACATGTCTTGAGAAGTACTTCATTGCCAAATATGTAAGGTCTAAAAGGGAAAGAATACGTACACGTAATTGATTTCACACTGTTTAACATTTCCTTTGTCTTCTTCTGGAATATCATCTTTTTTCTTAGTTTCTCGTTCAGCACAGGATCTAATCTGGACAATGGAGATGAGAACCCAACAGGTTATACATATATCTTCCCCTTCGCCACTTTACTTATTTGCTAAGAACCCTCTAGGTAATTTCTCATGCAAATGAAGAAAACAATCAACTTAGCAATCAGATTCAGAAAAAGGTTCTAGATATTTTTTTTAAGATTTTATTTATTTGAGAGAGAGAGAGAGCGAGCATGAGGGGAGGGGAGGGAGGGGCAGAGGGAGAGAGAGAAGCAGGCTCCCCGCTGAGCAGGGAGCCAGACACGGGGCTCGATCCCAGGACCCTGGGACCATGACCCTGTGCAGAAGGCAGATGCTTAACTGACTGAGACAATGAGGCGCCCCTCTAGATATGTTTTTATTTGTATAATTTATACAAATAATTGCTATTATGTTTCTCCACAGCCTTTGCATCAGACACAAAAGACAAAATTATTTGAAAAACATTTTATAGATTAGATCCTGCTGAGCAATTAGGCAATAATTTAATTAATTTTGGCCTCAAAGTAAATATTCAAATTATCCCTATAGATAGTGTTTATTTTGTAACACTGGAAGTTTAAGATAGTAGCTATTTTAATTTGCACAGCTATTCCCAAATCCATTAAAACTTTTAACATGACACAGCTCACTTATTTACTTAATTGGAATCCACTCCTTCTAAATCTTCCTTATATCCTCATAAATTGTGACAGATATTTACTATCACAATGCCATAAACTGATATAGTAATTAGGATCCACTGAATGGGGCAAGAAGGGGACAGAATCCAGGCCCCAAGAACTGGCAATTTGCAACCCAGAGGACAGGATTTACATCTCCAAAGTGATCTTTGTGGCTCAGAGTCCAATTCCAAGGCTGCTTAGAAAGTGGTGACCAATAAGGCATGTGCCAGTGCTACCTGTGTGACAGGTTTGGTTAAGGGGGTCCTAGCAGACCTGGGAAGATTACTGGCCAGGGCCTGTGACAATACTACTTTTGACAGGAGGGAATGTGTCCTGATAGGCTATAAAGGTGGACAGCTGATACAGACTAGCAGAGCCTGTGAAGTAAAATGCAAGATGGAAAGAGTTCTGGATTATCACTGCTCAGAGCTTCCGGGTACTTAACTAACCAAAGAGACCCAGGGAAATGTAACAGACACTTCATATAAAAACAGCTGTAATTAAATACAGCAGTTTTTGTTTTTTTCCCATAAAAGTGCAAAGTACTGCACTTTATTTGCATTGTCTTCAAAAATCATACTTTTAGGTAAGTGAGAAATCCACCAGCATTTTTCTAATGACCTGTTTCCTGAGAGGCAGTATGGTAGTTTCTAGTCAGTTGGGCCTGGGTATACATCCTGTCTCTATCATATCTAGCTGTGTGAGTTCATGACTGATAACAACAGGTGAGGATGTAAGGAGGCTCAGAGGCTCTCTCCTCATCGGTAAAGTTAAGATAATAGGTACTTCACAGGAACTTTATGAAGATTCAAGAAGACAGTGCTTGTGTCACATTCAGCAGAGTGCCTGTAGCTGCTGGCTTCTGTTTTGGTTTGTAGGTGTTTTTTTTTTTTTTTTTAATGTAATTGAAAAATGTTACGACTAACATTTATTATACACCTTGTAATTCTGTTTTTGGGAATTTATCCTCAGATATACCTGCGCACCTACAGAATGATGCATATTCAAAGTTATGTGTTACAGCACTGTTTCTAAGGGCAAAAGATGGGAAATCACCTAAATTTGCATTTATGAGTAACTGATTAAATAAATTATGGCTTATCCCTAAAATGGAATATTATGTAGCTGTTAAAAAGAGAAAATTTTCTACATAGTGATAAGGGAAAATCTCTAAGATAAAAATACTAAGGAAAAAAAAATCAAGGTCTAAAGGAGGATATGCAGGAGGCTAACTTTATTGTAAAAAAGTAGAAAATTATAAACATTTTTATTAAGAAACTCTGGTAGGCTATAGAAGGATGGGAGTCATGTATTTATATGCTTGTTATTTTTAAAATTTTGAACCATGTGAACCTATTTAAAAAATTAAATTTTAAAATGCAAGCAAGAAAAAAAAAGGAAACAGTCCTAAAAAGCATGTGGAACTACTCAGAAAAAGATACTAATACATGGAGGTAAGATATAATAATTTCGCTACCTCATGGTACAAAAAAGCCATCAGTTATAGGATTTATAATTAAGCTTTTTATAATAAAGCTTATTCGGAGCATAATATAAAACACTGCATTACATCTTTAAAGTGATAGTAAATGACTATTCAACATTTTTAAGAGATATAGTCACATCATATATGTGACATGTATTCTACAGAAAAATGAAAAAGAAAAAAATTAAAAGAAAGAAAAATGTCATGATTACCTTTATCATTTCTTCTTCTCCTGCTGTTTTACTTTTTGCTTCTATATCACCTGCTTCATTGCATCTAATAAAGCAGCTATTTGAAGCCAATAAAGCCATTTTTCCCTATATAAAATAATATAAAAGTTACAAGACTACTGCAAAAGAATTAAGTCTTGAGAATGAAATTAATTTTGCCCCTTAGCCCCAACTGTAAAAGTAATCAGTAAAAAGAATTTGGAGAAAACATAGAAGATAAAAAAAACATACAGAAAAGAAAACCAAAATCACCTATAATCTTACTACTCAAAAATAACCTCATTAACTATTTTTAGTATATTCTATTAGTAGGACTGAATTCTAACTAGATGAAATAGAATTGTTTCCTTTGGCCTTAAAGATCTATTGAGGCTATAGCTGATTTAGTTCTGTTTGAAAAATAATTAGCTTTTAAGGCAATAAGAGATTATATAATGCATAGTAATTTATTCAAAAAAGTGTTTTAAGTAAAAATTTTTTCATAATTAGAAAATATAAAAATATACAAGAGCTAGCTTTTGGTGCTTTTGAATTTACTGCTCAGAACTTTAAGAATCAGTGTCAAAGGGAGGTTTTTATGTGGACAAAAATGATGGTGGGCAGAGGTACTACTGCTATTTTTGTTGCACTATTTCCTCCCACAGTTTTACTGAGATATAATTGACAATCACCGCATAAGTTTAAGGTGTACGGCATAATAGTTTGGCTTAACGCTTATTGTGAAATGATTATCTTAAGTTTTAGTTAGCATCCATCATCTCATGCAGTTAACAATAAAAAGAAAACAATTTTTTTCCTTATGATGAGAACTCAGGGTTTACTCTCTTAACAACTTTCCTATATATCATACAGCAGCGTCAGCTATAGTCATCATGCTCTATGTTATATACCTGGCACTTCTTTATCTTGTAACTGGAAGTTTGTATCTTTTGACCACCTTCTTCCTCTAACTCCTAATCCCAAAACCTACTGCTCTGGTAACCAACCACAACTCTGATGTCTTTTTCTGAGTTTTATTTGTTTGTTTGTTTTTAAGATTCCATATATAAGTGAGATCATACAGTTGTCTTTCTCTGACTTACTTCACTTAGCAAGGTCCATCCATGTTGTTACAAATGGCAAGGTTTACTCACCTTTTATGGCTGAATAATATTCCACTGTATATGTGTATACCACAACTTCTTTATCCATTTATCTATCAATGGACATTTAGGTTGTTTCCATATCTTGGCTCTTATAAGTAATACCACTGTGAACATGGGGGTGCAGATATCTTTTCAAGTTAGTTTTTTGGTTTCCTTTGGATATATTCTCACAAGTGGGATTGTTGGATCTTATAATAATTCTATTTTTAATTTTTTGAGGAACCTCCATACTGTTTTCCACAGTGGCTGCATCAGTTTGCATTTCCACCAGCAGTGCATGAAGGGTCCCTTTTCTCCACATCCTCCCAGCATTTATCTCTTTTTGAAGATGGCCATTCTAACAGGCAGGAAGTGATACCTTATTGTGCTTTTGATTTGCATTTCCCTAATGACTAGTGATGTTGAGCATCTTTTCATGTACCTGTTGGCCTTTCATATATCTTCTCTGGGAAAAAATGTCTAGTCAGATCTTTTGCCCATTTTTTAATTGGGTTATTTGTTTCTTTGCTATTGAGTTGTATCAGCTCTTTATATATTTGGATATTAACCCCTTATCAGAAATATGGTGTGCAAATATTTTTTCTCATCCTATAGGTTGTCTTTTCACTTTGTTGATTATTTCTTTTGCTGTGTTGCACTGTTTTTCAAGACCTTTTTAAGGTTACGAGTTCGTATTGGTTTTCTTCAATTTAATGGGTTATATTACTGCACTCTTTATTTTTGAGGGTTTTTTTTGGAATATATATTCTCATTGACTGTTAAAGACTGTATCTTACATTGACAAGAAGCTTTTATGAACAATAACAGCACTTACATCTTGAAAGACTGGTTCCCATTGTTCTCTTGGTCCAATTGCATCTGAACGCCCCACAACAAGTCCATCTGAATTAATACCAAGGTATTTTCCATAGCCAGATTTCAGGGCAATTCTTTAGATTAACAAAAAGGAAATGTTAAAAGCGGAGAGAAAGAAAATTGAATATGGAACATAAAAATAATGTTTGTGTGTGTATAGAAATCCAGGCTAGCCAGAGTCCAAATTTTCAAAAGCCACATGTGGTTAGTGACTACCATATTGGACAGTGTAGTTCTATATATGTAATTTTATATTGTAGTTATAAGGCTCCTATTACACGCTATCAAATTGCTTTCCAGAAAAAATCTGTATCAACTTAACATTCTCACCTCAAGTCAGGAGAGTATCATTTCACCATAGATCTATTAACATTATGCCTTTTTTAGAAAAAATTAGAATATCAGATACAGGAAAAATAGTATCCTTTTTAATTGATATTTTAACCATTGTAAGTGACATTTGTACTTCCCTTTTTAGTTTTTAAGTTATCTTTTTGTCCATTTTTCTGTTGCTTACTGCTTTCCTTAGTGTTATGAATCCCGTACATACATACAAAGGATAAAAATTCACTGCCTGTTAACGTTGTTGCAAATATTTTCCTCATTTGCCTATTTTATATTTTTTGTTTTCAACTGTAAAGAAGTTTGTGTTTATTGATTTTTCTTCTTCTGCTTTTATTCTTTAAAAGTCTCTCAGGGGCGCCTGGGTGGCTCAGTCGTTTAAGTGTCTGACTTCAGCTCAAGTTATGATCTTGTGATCCTGGGATGGAGCCCCACAAGCTCCACAGTCAGGCTCTGTGCTCCTCGCTCAGCAAGGAGTCTGCTTCTCCCTCTCCCTCGCCCCCTTCCCAGTGCTCACTCCCTCTCTCCAAAGTAAATAAATAAATCTTAAAAAAATAAAAAAGTCTTTCACTATACTTATTGGCCACTCAAAGCATAGGAATGATAATCTTTTTTTTTTTAAGATTTTATTTATTTATTTTGATATATAGAGAGAGACAGCGAGAGAGGGAACACAAGTCGGGGCAGGGTGGGAAAGGGAGAAGCAGGCCCCCTGCAGAGCAGGGAGCCTGACGCGGGACTCGATCCCAGGACCCCGGGACCACGACCTGAGCCGAAGGCAGACGCCCAACGACTGAGCCACCCAGGCGCCCCAGGAATGATAATCTTAATGTGATTTTTTTTAAAGAAAAAAATATGATTCCTTAACTTTTAGCTTACCAATCCCTTGTGCCAAGGGACTGATTTTATATTAATTTACAGGTTAATGATAGTATAAATCATTATCATGTTGATGTAGCCAATTATTAGCATACTGAAATTCAATTTCTGTGTGCACTACCCAAAGTATCATTCTGTACTTTTGCACTGTGAGAATAAAAAAGGTCAGCTTATGAAATGATTGTAAAAATAGTAAATAAAATATTCTTTTGGTCTTCATGGCTATGTAACATTCTCTACTGATTTTAGTAATTTTAATAATATTCCTTTCTTCTATCTTGTTTATCTCTTCCATCTTATTGTGTCTTCTTCAGTTTTTTTCATGAGTGTTCTGTAGTTCCTAGAGTATATATCCTTTACCTCTTTGGTTAGGTTTATTCTGAGGTATCTTACGGTTTTTGGTGCTATTGTAAATGGAATTATTTCTCTAATTTCTCTTTCTACAGTTGCATTGTTAGTGTATAAGAAAGCAACTGATTTCTGTGCATTGATTTTGTATCCTGCCACGTTACTGAATTGCTGTATGAGTTCTAGTAATTTGGGGGTGGAGTCTTTTGGGTTTTCCACATAAAGTATCATGTCGTCTGCGAAAAGAGAGAGTTTGACTTCTTCTTTGCCAATTTGAATACCTTCTATTTCTTTTTGTTGTCTGATTGCTGTTGCTAGGACTTCTAGTACTATGTTGAACAATAGTGGTGAGAGGGGCATCCTTGACGTGTTCCTGATCTTAAGGGAAAGGCTCTCAGCTTTTCCCCACTGAGGATGATATTCGCTGCTCATGGATTGGAAGAATAAACACTGTTAAAATGTCTATGCTACCCAGAGCAATCTATACCTTCAATGCTATCCCGATCAAAATTCCAATGACATTTTTCAAAGTGCTGGAACAAACAATCCTAAAATTTGTATGGAATCAGAAAAGACCCCAAATCACCAAGGAAATGTTGAAAAAGAAAAAGTTGGAGGCATCACGTTGCCCGATTTCAAGCTATATTACAAAGCAGTGATCACCAAGACAGCATGGTACTGGCACAAAAACAGACATACAGACCAATGGAACAGAATAGAGAGCTCAGATATGGACCCTCAACTCTATGGTCAAATAATCTTCGACAAAGCAGGAAAAAATATGCAATCGAAAAAAGTCTCTTCAATAAATGGTGCTAGGAAAATTGGACAGCCACATGCAGAAGAACGAAACTCGACCATTCTGTAACATCATAAACAAAGATAAACTCAAAATGGATGAAAGACCTCAATGTGAGACAGGAATCCATCAAAATCCTAGAGAACATAGGCAATAATCTCTTTGACATCGGCCACAGCAACTTCTTTCAAGATACATCTCCAAAAGTTAGTGAAACAAAAGCAAAAATGAACTTCTGGGACTTCATCAAGATATCCTGTTTATATCTTGACTTCTGACAAGTGAGTTAACGTATCACAGCAACATCAGACCAGGTTTTGCCTTATGTCTGTTTTCTTTACATGATCTTTCTAATCTATATCTTATTTGGTCTGTGACATTATTAATATTCATTTTTTTTCTAGCCTAGTATTATATATTGCTAGGAATCATAGTGTATGTTTTTATTTGGAGCTTTAATTCTCTTTCAAAGACACAGTTGCTGCAAATGAAATTTAATAATACCTAAATACAGCATATATGTTATATTTTTTTATTTTTATTTTATTTTTTTAAAGATTCTATTTATTTATTTGAGAGGGAGAATGAGAGATAGAGAGCACGAGAGGGAAGAGGGTCAGAGGGAGAAGCAGACTCCCTGCCGAGCACGGAGCCCGATGTGGGATGCGATCCTGGGACTCCAGGATCATGACCTGATCCGAAGGCAGTCGCTTAACCAACTGAGCCACCCAGGCGCCCTAGGTTATATTTTTAAAATGTCACAAAATATACTTTCAAAAAGATTGTTTTGCTTTTTACATCAAAATTGGTCTGTGGAATTAAGTTAGCTTAATTAATTACCTATATATAGAAATTTTTCAGTGAATAAGTTTAAATTTTTTTTAAGATTTTATTTATTTATTTGACAGAGAGAGACACAGCGAGAGAGGGAACACAAGCAGGGGGAGTGGGAGAGGGAGAAGCCGGCTTCC